ACCACATATTTTTTTTTGTCAATATTGGAGACATTAATCAAGTGAGTGCAGGCAATGAACTTGGGCCCCCCCTCCATGGATGGCAAAGGTTAACAAGGTCAGTGCATAAATATAATCCACTGCCACCTATTGTAATTCATACACATTCAGGAAGGAGGGACAAACATATTCGGGAATGCAACATAAACCTGAGGAAGGAGACACATGATAGAGTCAATACATGGAGAAAAAGGAAAATAGTAAAAACTAAACCATGTACAATGACTAAAACATGTCCTCTATAAAATTCAGTCAAAAAACAATCATTATTTGCTCTATAGTTAAACGATCAAGTGCATTATAGATGAGGTGCATGAAAAGAAAAACTAGTTAGTTTTCAAGCTGAAGCAGTAGCAATAATTGAATAAAAAAAAATGAAATTTGATTAATTTATGATGAAAAAACAACAAATTATTAGGCACACCCAAATGAATATTTAACAGGATGTAAGTGAGAAAGAGTGGGGTGCTGAAAATTCTTGACCTAACCTAGAAATCCTAAAACAAACCAACTAAATGTGTAAAGCCTCAAAGAATGACCTTAGCAACAGGTTAGTCATTTTTTATAACTCCTTCATTCATTTAGCATGAAACTAAGCAATGATTTGGATCAGAGTCCCTAACATTTTTTTTAATCATTTTGTTAATGCACCTAGGACATGGGGGTAACTGGGAGTGAAAGGGAATGAGAAGAGTTAAGTGAGGAAAAAGAATAAAAAAAAAAGAACAGTGTTCCAGAAGATAGAAGATAGTGATTGATGTTGCATTTAAATTTTTGAAGATTGTAGTTGGCAGGGAAGCAAGAAATCAGGAAGGAATTCTGCTGTTTGGTTCCTTAGTCTCTGTTACATATTAAAAGTTTTTCTTTTTGAAGTATGATTATTTTAATGTGACTAATCAAAATTTCATAATGGTGGCTTTCTTTTTCTCATATTCCTCAAGAGTTTCTCCAAAATTCAGGTAAAGCTCTATGGCTAACATCAGAATGAATAATTAAAATGCTATATTCACTGGTAAACCATCACAACAGAATGAATTATTCTATAGACACACAGACAGGTGAGAATGGTCTGCTATGTCTATCCCCACCCCTACAATATATATATATATATATATATATATATATATATATATATATATATATATATACATATATATACATACATACACACACACACGGTGCAAGGGATTCATAGTGTCAAGAAATTTCAAAGCCAACCAATTTCCGTTTATGTTACTGAAATGCTCAGAATCAAGTATTTGAAAAGAAGCAGGCATGTGCTTCTACTTGCCCAACAGTGACCTAGAATTGTGAAAGTTGTCACATTGAGATAGACATGAATCATGTAAAATTAGTAAAACTGCTTGGAAAAATTTAATGAGTGAGTAGAGAAGAGGTGTGGGAGGGTCTAAAAGGGAGTGGAAGGGAATATATGAAAGATATTTATTGATCGGTAAAATAATTATCTACTTCGACTGATGTGTGGGCAAAAACAAGATATAAATTCTCAGGAAAAGCCAAGTCTTAAAGAAACAAAATAAAATTGGCTACGATGTTAATGAGAAATAATTTGGCCATTTATAGCAATTTACAGTTTCTCTCATAGGGTTGGGGGTCTGGCACACAGGGACTAAAAGATGGAATTTAATTGGAACAGAAGGCAGACACTCTGCAAAGAAATGGAATTGTCCCAAAAACACATGGCACTTCATCAAAATTATAGAATCCCAAAAACAATCACAATTTTCCACACCTGTATTATATATGAGGTGCTAGCCAAAATATTAGGAATTTAAGTTATAAGGTAGCTTTCTTCAAAGAAAGAAAATTGGATAGAATTTCTTATTTCATAGTGGAGTGGTTTTCAGAGATGCCTGGTAAGAAACATTAAGTAACTTAAACAGATTATGAAAATTCTTCAAATTTTAAGAAAACACCTTGCATATATAAATGAATATGAATCTTTTGGGGCTCATTGGCATCAATGTTGGTCATATGTCCCTTAGTATTTTCAAAGTTTCTTTTTGGACAGAGATAAAACTTTCTGATAAAGAATAGTAAATAATTGTGCTGAACAAGAATTTCCTTTTATTACTGTTTACTAATGAAAAGATCACGGTCATGGAGTTACAATGACTCTGTGAGCCTGACTGTAATCAACCTTAACTGAACCTGCAAATGAGAAATATTTATTGTCATATATAAAATTGTGAGTCAGACAATTCTAAATATTTCCTCTATTTTCAGAATATTATCTTTATCTTTTTAATAAAACAGATTCTTCAACCTTTGCCATGTCTATGTTACATCTGGTGGTATTTAAAGTTGCTTTGTAATTCTGTAAGAATTGCCATTCTACACTCAGTCAGTCAGTCAGTTATGTGCCATGCATGATACATGCTTAGGCGATCATGTATCTTTTGATACATGACTGACAAGGCAGATTTTTTCCCTCAGTAGGTTGCCATTTCTTTCTGCGATAGCCCAATTGCCATCCAAAGCTATGAACCCTGTATGTCTTGATATTTACCCATCGCTGGTGTGATAGGGGAGAAGAAGAGGATTCATACCTTTCTCAAGGGTATCAGCACGTAAGTGAATGTAATGGATTCGACTGGAATTCAAACGGTTCTCAGATCCCTCAATCCGAGCCACTATCCATTACTCTACCGTGCCTCCTCTACAGTATTTTGAAGAAATGATTAAGAAGGAATCCCCCTCCCCCTCAAAAATAGAGCAATAAAAGTTACTGGATCTGAAAAAATGATTTTCCTGAAAAATTGTTTTAAAAGAAAGATTTTATAAATTTCAACCGGAAGTAGTACTGATTACTCACTCAATAATTGGGTAATGTTTCCTTAAAAGGACACAGCTAATATTATCATTAGAGATGAGAATAGATACTATATTTTGATCCTAACCCAATGTCCAGTGAGTGAAGAAAAGCATAACACTGGTTCCTTGCTTAATGAATGCCAAATGTTTCTTTATAAGGAAACAGCCAATATTATCATTATTTTTTCTTCTTTTTATCTTCTAAACTAAAATACTACAAAAACTGGAATCTGAAATTGGTTCAAAGGAAATATTTTATAAAGTTCTAATTAAACTCTAATGCTGAAGAAATGCCAATTCTTTGTTTTTAGAAGACAATTTTTTTCAGTTCTTCTTTAATTTTTACCATGTTTGATTCATCTTAAGACTTTTCATAAATCTCATATTGTCATTGCTCTACACTTAAAACTGATTCTGTTTTAAGAGCACATCTGTATCTCCAAATTCATTTACTGAGTGGATGGCAAGACAAATAGTAAACAGGCTGCTTTTTAAGACATTTGGTGATTTAAACATGACTACATTGGGCTCATGAATGGATATCTAGGTTTAAATTAAGTCTAACCTATAATATTAAATAGACTGGTCCTCATATAAAAAATAGAGAAAAGGTTTAGGAAATAAGTTTTTAGATAAGCATTTTTTAGAAATTTCTCAAGGCACATTTGTCAGAATCAAAACATATTGCTTTTTATCATTTTAGAAGGAGGGTTCTGTTATACTGTTATAGTGGAACACACCTATTCTATAATTAATAGACTCTCCCACCTATAATAAGTAGGAGTAGTAAAAGTAACAAGTTGGTCAGGCAGTCGGTGAGTGAGTCAGTGTTGGACGACAGTTGGTCGAATACTAAAGTATCAGCGACCACAACTAGATTACTCTGCGTTATACCTATTATATCAAGTTCCTAATGTTTTGTACGTCGAACCTATTTTAGGACCAGCTTAGTACAAATACAAGCCTCCACTGTGAAATCACTCCACAACATATACAGTGTAAAATCCATCTCTGACTTTTTACAGAGTTATTTGGACTTAGCAATTTTTTAAAATAAAGAACAAAAAGCTATAAACATTTCTAATTAAAGAACAAAACATTACATAAATTAATAAAAGAATATGTCAATTTATTCTTCATTTACGATAAATAATTATTATTCCCAGTATTTGTGCATGTGCCTAAGAAATGCCACACACAAAAATTTTTTTTTTTTTAAATTTTATAAAGTTTTAAAATGAATTCAGAAAATTAAAAGAATATTCAGATATCAATAATGTAAACAATTTCAAACTTGAGATTTGTAAAGAGCTTAGTCTTTAAAAAGACAGGAATTGATTTTATATTTTATTTATATGAACAGGACACCACAGATATTTTCTGTTAATTCACCTTAAAATATTAATTCATGCTAAAATAAAAAAAGAATTTATATTTACTAAAATTCAAACCCAATTTTCCCAGAGCAAGGACCTTTTATTTCACTCCAGTTGGGTTGACCTTTGTGATCATCCCAAATGTGAGTGACTTGGGTGTGTTCTATTTCTCACCCCAATTAACAAGCCAAAAACAGATTTTTTCTTCATTTTTTTTTAATTGTAAAAAATCCCTTGTAAGTACCTTGAATATCATCCGCACTTATGAAATGTAAATAACTCTGATTTTTGATAATTTTTCATTTTTATAGTTGGAGTTGTTGCGAGGCAAGCTAAATTTTTGATTCAAAATTTATAATTTCAAAAGAGTGCCAAAAATTTAATAAAAAAACAAACTTTGATTTAAAATTTATAATTTCCTGGGGTAATTAAATTTGTGATAAGTAACTTTACATTATTTGTGGTGAATAACAGAAAAGATCCGGAAATACCTTATAAATCAATGATCAACATTTCATTTTTTATGTTCTGGCAAATGTTAGCCTGCTTACAAAAATTCATTCTCAAAATTTTCCCTATATTTTACAAGTGGACCCATCTATTTAAGTAGTGCCAATATGCATATAGATTATGTCATTTTCTTCTTTTTCTTTAAATAATATAAAATTGTTTAGAAATTTATTTATAAAAGATTAAAATAAAATTTTGTAAGGTAAAAAGAAAAAGCAGAAAAGTAAAAAATCCTCTTACCGCTGTTTGTGCTGTGATGTGAGTACAGCCGATAATCTTGGCTCCCAAAAGGGGTTTATCAGCTGCAGCTCTCTTTTTCAAAGCCATTAGTCCGGGCATTTCTGAAGAAAAATTGGAGGAAAAAAAAAAAAATTTAAACACAAGAGTAAAATTAAAAAAGTAAACAAGAGATTACCAAATAAAATATCGCCTGGATTTATTGCTCAATAAACACTAGATTAATTATTCATTTTCTGCTTTGGTCATGACTGAAGCCAGAAAAAGGAAAAAAAATTAAGTAAACACAGATTTTAATCAAAGATTTACACCATTAGATGAGTTTGTAAAAACTAAAAGAAGAGTTATCTTGACTCTCCTCCAAAAGGAGGAAATAATCTTCATAGAAAGCTAAAGAGAAGAAGACATTGGCAGTTTGTTTGGATCATTGTGGAATTTGTGGAAGGAAATGAAAGAAATTTTCTTTTCTCTTTGACTTTGCTTATAATAATACCAATGACAATTCCTCTTATAGATTTTATTCTGACTTTTTGTGGATGTGTACACAGGGAATTACTTTAGTGTATAACAGTTTAAATTTGTAATGTTTTATTTATATATAAATAGTAGCGAACCAATTTCACAGTTGAATAGTTATTTACCAAATTGGTATTAGCCTCATGACAGAGTAAAAGACTAATGTCCAAGAATGCCAAGATTAAAAATTGATTTTTTTTCTTTTGACAATTCAGGGCACCCACCTTTTATTCATACATCTACTTCCATTGTCCTTTTTTGTCTGGGTACTGCATGTTGGGAAAGATTTGGATTTACCTTTTGTCTACTGATGGAATAAACTAGTAAAGTGTATATATTGTTTGTCTGCAACAATGGAATCGGTTCATTTGCATGTTGTTCATTTGACAATACAAAACTAGAAAATAAGAGTTATTCTTTCGTGCAGTGACATTGATATGGGTCATTTAGAACAAAGTATAACAGTCACTGATGCTAGTTCCCAGTTAAAGAGTATCTTCTGAAACATCCAAACTAATACTTCCCATTATAACAATTTCAGATGCACTAATATAACCAGTTTTTCTTGCAATCATTTCAGAAATATCTTGTAGAGTAATTGGCCATGGTTAAATGTAATTGGCAAAAATGCCCAACAAACAGAATTGCAAGTTTGCAATAACAATATCAAGAAAAAAGAAAAGAACAGGGTAAAAATAATACAAGCAAGCAAACAATATTGGCAAGACAAATGTAGGCAGAGCAATTTTAATAAGGCAAAGTAACAGTAATAAGGCAGAGCAATTGTAATAAGGCAAAAAGTTCAGAAACTAAGAATGGTTTTGACACACAAAAGGAGTTACAGACAAGTGATCGCAACATTCTTTCAAGAAAGAACGGAACGGAACAGAATCAGATGAGACTGAGAAGTGGCCAATCTTATTACATGCATCTGTATGTTTTGTCTATAAATTTGGGGAGGGGGATGTTTTTGTAGTTATTCTTTATTAGATTGGAACCAGCACATCTAAACTTTCAGCTATATACAACCACTTTCTCAGTTCAATGGTTAAAATGGCTTTGAAAGGAAGAATCCTGTAGGTCTTAGTGAGGACCATCTATCTTGAAACCTTTTTGAAACTGGTGCTACAAAATACTGTAGCAAATAACAGACACCACATCACTTCCAACAGCAGCAACAACTAAAATGAATAGCACATTTAACTCAAATAGAAAATTATCACAATCAAGATGTTGACATTCCACACTACTTCAAACAAAGGTTAGGAAGGATACATCCATTAATACAGGAAAGAGCAATAACAATGGACTTCAAAAACCTTTTTCTGAAAATTGTTTTAGAGAAAGATTTTATAAATTTCAACTGAAGGTAGCACAGTTAATGAATGCCAAAGGTTTCCTTATAAGGAAATGGCTAATATTACCATTTCTAAAAAAAAAAAAAATATTGAAAGATTCATCTTGGCAAATGAAATGTGATCCCTTCTTGCCTTTTACAGGGACTGAGTGAATAGAAATAAAATCTGCAAGCCAAAAGAACTTTGATTGATTCTTTTTTATGACTTATCAACCTTTTACAGGTTATTTAAAGTCAGAAAATATTTTTAGATTGTAAGAATTTTGGGGAGTTAATGACTTTTAGTGATACAAGTGTTACTAATTAACCCATACCTGGGAGGGAGAAAAGGTTTATTCATACCTTTCCTAAGGGATATTTGAACTGGCTTCTCTGATTTCTAATTCTGAGCCATTATTTATTACATTATTAGCATCTAGGGCAAGGCAGGGGAAAAAAAAAAAAATCCATAAATTTTATTTTTCCAACATATTTCATGCTGAATTTAAGATGTCATATTAGGCTGTTTTTTTTTATAAATAATTTCACCCCAAGCAAGGCAATAAAGCAGCTAATCCAGAAGGGGTTACTGAGTATGAAAGAATATGAGAAAAAGAAAAACATTATTAAGGAGAGAGAACAATAAAAGAACAAGAATTAAGAACACAGAAGATAATGATTGACATTGCATTTAAAGTTTTGAAGATTATAGTTAACTGGAAAGCAAGAAACCAGAAGAGAGTTCCACAGGCGAGAAGTGTGAGAGAAGAAGCTTTTAGCATAGAACTTATGGTTACATCTAAACATTTCAACTGTAAAATGATGAGACGTTGCCACCAATCTAGTACTGTTCTTAAATTCATAAAAGTACCATAGCGGACAGCTCATCCAGACAGTTGCCATGAAAATATTTATATAAAAGGCAGAGGCCAGCTACATTTGTCCAGAAAGTAATTCTGATTTTAGGTTTTTGCTTCTTTCAACATTTTTTAACAATAAAGAAATAATGTGCATAAAACTACATATTTTATGCTATTCCTTTCATAATAAACAATTTTAATAAAATTGCCTTATTGCCAAATACATATTGCAATGTTGGTTTCACCAGGTGTTTGTTAATCTGGGTAACCTTTAGAGAATTTTGAATTGAGCTCTTTATTTAATCTAGAAGGGGTAGATTATTCTTCTGGCCATATCTAGAAATATCTTTTCAAATTCTCATTTAGAACAGCTCAGTTATTGTTTGCTTCCATGTCCAGTGATGTCCAAATACACACAGCTTTGGTAGAAGGATGTCACCAAATTCATGAACCTATGCTTGAATCCACTAGGCTATTGTACCATGGGACAATCCCGAATGGAGAATTTGGGAGCCTGAAACCTAATCTACAAGGATACACTGTTCTCAATCTATTGACCATGTTCATATCTTGTTCTTTTTTACTACTGCTCAGTTATTGCACGCGCACAGCCACATTAGAAAAAGAGTGCAGTCAAGCATAACGATCAGCAATACTCATTAGCAGGTTGGTATATACTGTAAAATATGTTAGTTTGATTAAAAAGATGATGTTTTTCTAACTGGAAAACTCTTGGTAGAAAGATGAAGAGATTTTTTTCTGTTCACAAAGAAAAGAACAAGTTCTACACATTAAGCCAAAAATAATGTGATATACAAAAAAGTCTGCCATTGCCTTAAGGACAGATTTATTTATTTCTGTGTTAATGGGTGAGATCAGGAAAATGTAAATTGCCAAACAGATATGAAAATGGCCCTGGAATTGACACTATCTGGAAAACTTAATAGAATTATGAAGAAGATCAAAGTCACCTGGTACTTTGCTAATATTGAAAATATAGTCAAAGGGAATAAATATAGAGTGACTAGAGATGGACAGGAGAGAAAACCTGATCAAGAGAACCCGATTGTGCATTTATAAATCATTCTGGGCCAATTGTGAAGCTAATGAGTGTAATCAGAACTAATCTAAAATTCCTTTAGATTATGGAGACAGAAAATATAGATTAGAAAAAAGAGAAAGAATAAAATGATCAAACAATTGTAATATAAACAGAAAGCAAATAAACAAGATGTTCATAATAGTCAAAACCATTTTTAGTTTCTTTTTTTGGAAGAGAAAGAATTGAAACAAAAGTTCAATTAAGCAACAAATATGTCTATATTTTTAAAATGAGGTATTGTAACTATTTATATTGTTCGGACTGTTGTCCTCATCTTTATCAAGAGATTCACAATGCTTCGACTGTTGTACGCTCCAGACTTCTTCAGGTGATATACGTTGAAATTTATTTCCCTTTTAGTAACCTCTCTGGGTCAAGTCACTGGATTATTTCAACCAATACTAGGCTATGTGGAGAACATACAAGGGCGAAAACATTATGAATATGACAATAAAGATGAAGACAACAGTCTGAACAATGTAAATAGTATAAATAGTTACAATACCTCATCTCAGAAATATACAGATCCTGAACAAGGCCAGACTGTACAATGACCGAAATGTTGTGAATATGGCAATAAAGAGGAGGACAACAGTCTGAACAATGTAAATAAGTAACAAATATGTTAAAAAAAAGTTTAACTTTTCCAATTATGGAATTCCTGAGAAAACAAAAATTAAGTGTCACTCTGCACACATTTGTATGAGCCACGTCCATTCAAGACATGACTGACCACGGCTTTCCACAGCTTCCTGTCTTTTGTTACAGCAACACTTGTTCTTTGATGATTCCACTTTCTGGTTCTTGTTTCTTTAGTCATTTGCTCAAATTTATCAACTTCCTCCTTGTGAGAGTTATATTCTTTAAGCCTTCTTTCCTTGTTAGGATATTCGAAATAAAGAATTATTATCTTTCTATGTTTTGCTATTTGAAATAGCATCTTGTTTGCTACACTCACAACATTTCTATTTTTCAGCCTTCTTCAGGGTTCTCTCTTAGTAATAGTAACCATCTTCAATTTACTGGGGGAAATTCATTTCATTCCACTTTCTATGCTTTACAAGAGTTAACCCTCACCAGTATTATTAACTTTTGTGTTGTTTCTTCTACTAAATAAGTACATAGAATTCCAGCACTACCACAACCAGGGGCTGAACTCATAATTGACAAAGAACCTCATATGTAATAACAAATGCTTGAATCCACTTGGCTATGTGTGACTCTGGGACAATTTAGTGTTGAAAATTTTAATATCCATCATCAGATAGTGGGGTTATCTGAGTCTCCTGA